GAAGCTAGCGTTGGCAGTGGGAATGAACAAAAAGAAATGGGTAAAGACTGCAAAGAGGTAAAACACTTCCATCTTTCCCACCAAATTAAAAAACCTGTGTAATTGAAGCCTTATTGTCTAATTTAGTCTTTATTATTTCTTTAATTATGTGGATTCAAATAAATGCTCCAATATGTATCTCAAAGATGGGTGTATGTAAGCAAGTAATCTAACAAGATCCATTACTTACTCTGTCTGTGAAGCGGCAGTTAACTTCTCTAGAACAGTGTCTGGAAGGAGTTTCCTTTTCTTAAAGACAGTTTAAAAGAATAGCGTGAGGTACATGACAACATACCTGGGTTGCTTGTGACGTTACAGGCTCGGGGACTGCCTTCTATCCTAGGCAAATAAAGAATGTCGGCTGCCCGCTGCCCCCACTGCCTCTAAGCTGGGGGGAAACTGCGGTCACGGAGCTCAGCCCGCTCGACACTGTGGGGAAGACCCGGTGAAGACTGGACAGGGCGCCCGACCCTCCCGTCACCGCGCGCCCCAAGCGCAGTTAGGTCATGTCCCCCCGGAGTCAGCTCCCTGCGGCCCATCTGCCAAACACCCGACAGCAGAGCAGTCGCCGTCGGCACCGCCCTGAGTTTCCAAAGCACCTCAGCCAAGTCCAACAGCAACCCAGCGACACAAAAACTACCGCCGGCGAGAAGCGACTGATGTCCCGGCGAGCTGAATGCAGGGCCGGCATTTAACCGTGTGATTTCAAATTCACAGCTCTCCCCGCTCCCATTTTTAAGCGGTGGGCAGCAGAGTACGAGCATCTTTGTTTTCACCGATGTCTGAAGAAACAGGGCTTTCCCCCCACCTCCATATCCTACCAGCTTTGCAACAAGCACGGGAATTCCACCCCAAACCGGGTTCTTTTAAAAAAGGAGATGCCTCCCTGCAAGTCGAACCTTTTGTTCAATGAACAGCTCCTCGCGCCGCTTCCTCTTCTCCTTCAGGAGTGTTTTATCCCTGAGAGAAAGGGAGACAAGTCAGTGCGAGGACAGACAGTGGGACGGGAGGGACGGTTCTCCGGCCCCGCCGTGCGCTCCCGACCTGCGCGCCGTCTCCCGGACTCGCCGCTCCTCTTCCCTCGCTTCCGCCTGGGCGCTGGCGAAAGTCAGTTCCTCTGGGGCCTCGTCGTCCCACTCGTCGTCCCCCTCGTCGTCCCCGTCCCCGTCTTCCTCCAAGGGCTCGGCGGCCGCGCCGCTGCTGGGCTGCCCGAGCAACAGGCCGTGCTCCGCCTCCTCCGAGGCGGGCTGGCCCTCGTCCACCATCGCCGACGCCGACGCCGGGGCGCGAGAAGCGCGCGGTCGGAGCTGCACCATGGCCCACGGCGTGCCGGACCGTCCGACTTCTGACCCGGAAGTAGCCCGCAAGCCGAGCGTGACGCGAAGAGCTAGCGACTCGAGTTTAGTCGCTCCCAGCACGTTCTGAAGCCCCACAGCGAGTGGAGGCGCATGCGCAGGCGGGGAAGGGCGTGGCCTAAGGAAAGCTGGGGGCGTTTCCTTCCGCTCGGCTGGAGGCTGAGCGCTGCCGGAGTCCCTCCGCGCCGCTGCCGAGGCGCCCCTGGCAGCCGGTGGGCGCGGGGCTGTTTGCAGGCCGGGCAGAAGTCGTGCTGCCTTCCTGGCTGGGCTGCTGACAGTAGGTCTGGCTGAGTCCCCGCCTCCTCCAGGCGGGCTGGCGCGGGTCACGCCATCCGGTGCTCAGGAACTGGATTCAGTTAATCCAGTGGTTCTCAACCTTCCTAATGCCGCGACCCTTTAATACAGTTCCTCATGTTGTGGTGACCCCCAACCATAAAATTATTTTCGTTGCTACTTCATAACTGTAATTTTGCTACTGTTATGAATCGTAATGTAAATATCTGATATGCAGGATGTATTTTCATTGTTACAAATTGAACATAAAGCATAGTGATTAATCACAAAAACAATGTGATTATATGTTTTCCGATGGTTTTAGGCGACCCCTGTGAAAGGGTCTTTCGACCCCCAACGGGTCGCGACCCACCGGTAGAGAACCGCTGACAGTGTTTATAGATCTGACTCCCATCACTCCGCGCTCCCGGAGTAGTGGCGTTTCAAAGGGAAGAAATGCGCTATAGCGGCAGGACCTGCTGTCACCGAGAAGTTGACAGACACCGGATTAAATCAATTCCCAGCACCAAATGTGTGCTGGGCGACTTTGGCCCCGTTTATCAGGCTACCCCGACCACCAGCTCCTCCACCAGTCTGTCCATGCCGCTGTTCTGTGCCCTTCACTGACAACTTCCCAAACAGTGTATTACCTGACTCTGCCCCCCAGCCTCCACTTAAATGTAAGCTCTGTGAGAGTAGGGAGCCCACCTGATTCCCTGGTGCAACCTCAGGACCTTAAACAATGGCCAGCCCATCCCAAATCCTGAATCCAGTGAAAGAATGCCACCCTGCACTCAGTGAATGCAACCCTAGTACTATTTCTGTGTCCTCAGTATATGCCATTTTTTGGAATATACATGGCCCTTCCTGACCTGTGTTTATCTTCTCCCACCCATTATACAATACTAAGTGAGTCATCTATCATTCTCCCATCAAACCAAGGTTTCACACTTGCCGTGCATTTGTACATGCTGTTCCCTTTATGACACACACTCCCCCACGTGGAACTATTTATACCTGAACACAGGCCAGGGCTGACTTCCTTTAAAGGTCTTTCAAAGACCTTAACATCTACCCATCCCCACTCTGCCCATCTTTAACTACATTTTCCTCTGAATCTTGAACAAATTTCTATTACTGCAGTTTCTACATTGTAAAATAGTTTACATGACAGTTGTCCCAGCATTCTGTCAAGTCCTTGAGGGCAAGGCCCACCTCTTACTAATTATATTTCTAATGCCTATTATGTGGTAGACATTCAATAATACTAAATTGAATTGAATAATTTCTACCTCACTTTTTTTTTCAATTCTCCTTTCATTTTCTCTAATAAAACCAAAACGTGAACACAAATGATAAAACACACCCACAAAGCTGCTGGTACCAAAGGCCCAATTTGAGAGGAGTTGCAAAGAACTGTACTGAAATATCTGGGCCTTGGGCAGATGGAGATTAAAAATATAATCAGACTGAGACAGCATACTGATTTCCATCATTGCTAACACTAGGAAAATGTTTAAAGTAACAGAGAAGCCCAACAACAAACGTATTAAAAGAGAACAATGGTATTTTATGTGCAAAAACTACATTATAAGTATCACAAGTCCCTTCAGTATATATGCCTTGAGCCACTCGTGTGAAGTGAACCCTAAAGGCTGGCCCTTCAGACACCTTGTAGGTTATGAACATCATGAACATCCCTCTTATGCTAAGAACCTTTGGGATTTATTAAATTTTAATAAAATTTTCAAGGTGCACAAATTTGTGCACCTTGAAAAGAACTGTGGGCCGAGAGGCTGCAGTGGGCACAGGGGCAGGTCTCAGCCCATCCTCTGCTGGTCCCTCCCACCGCGGCCCCCAGTCCCCTCTCTGCCGCCACCACTCCCATGTGCTAATGGTGCCAGCCTTGCTTGCACCCACTGATGGCGTGGAGCTATTGGGGCCGGCGCCAGCAGCAGGTGCCAGCAGGGCCAGCGCCATCAATGGGTGCGAGTGGCAGCTGTTGCCCTGATCACCCCTCAGGAGCAAGGGAAGGTGGAGAAGCCCTGAGGAGTGATCGGGGCCAGCAGCTGCTGCTTGCACCTGCTGACAGTACTGAGCGATCGGGGCCGGTGCTGGGTGCAGGCAGTGGGTGCGAGCAGTGGCTCTGGCAGCAGGTGCAAGCAGACTGGCACCGGCAGCAGGTGTGAGTGCTGGGGTGGGACCGCAGCGCACAGGAGCAAAGAATTTTCAGTAACCATCAGAGGCTCGCCCCAATGACAGCAACTGGCACCCTGCCTTGTTCTGGCGACCCCGCTCACCTGCTCCACCATCCCACCGTGGCCGACGCCCGCCATGTTCCATGCTCTGCCACCTGCTGCAGAGGGCTGCCATGTTCCGCGTGCGCCCCCTGGTGGTCAGTGCATGTCATAGTGACTGGTTGTTCTGTTCTTCCATTGTTCTGCCATCCGGTCTATTTGCATATTGATGACTTGCAAATGCAGTACAAAGTTTTGTATGATAGTGTCTTGTCATCTATTCCCACAAAAGCCAAGGATGTAACATTAAATCAATTCTTGTACGGGGCTGAGGTGATGAGACTGTGTAATCACCCAGGGGGCCAGCTGACCCAAGGGCCATTGTTATGTATGACCTTCCTACACTGTTTACTAAAGGCCACTGCTCCCAGTCAGGCTTCTGATGCTTGCCTGAGAGCAAGCAGGCATTCCACGGGCCCTGGGTACTATATGAGGTGTGGGGCCTGAGGTGAGAACTGTGTTCTTGCTACTTTACTCTGAGGTAAAGTCCTAAGGAAAACATTCCCTTCAGAATTCAGTGTCGGGGAAAGCTTGGCAGACCCTGAAGGGCCTATATGCTTCTGTGTTTATATCAAGAAATAGTCAACCATCACCTCTCCCTTTCCTCCTTGGCTGCTAAGAAGGCTAGTACTGCACAGCCTGTGGCTCAGTTGGTTGCGCGTCATCTCATACACCAGAAGGGTGCAGGTTCCATTCTGGGTCAGGGCACATGTCCCCCAGTAGGGGACATGCAGGAGGCAGCCAATTGATATTTCTATCTCTCTCCCTCTCCCTTCCTCTATCTGAAATCAATAAAAACATATGTTTTTTAAAAAGGCTAGTACTACATTTTAGTCAGTTGTGAATACCTTTGGAATCTATATATTTGTGTCATTTTGGGGTGGGGGCCTCATCCTGATTTTCTACCTTGTTGCTACTTTTCTTTCTTGAGTTCCTGTTCTAAGCTATCCCACATATTTTGAGGTAAAGCAGCCAAACAAGGTAAACACGGAAAAGAAAAAATCCTCAATAAAGGTATCTCTCAGGGTCACATCTGTATACCATATATTACCTCCTGTAGAGAGTGATTTTATTTTCCATCAAAATTTGTATAAAAATCAGAAATAGCAATGTTTTACCTTTCTACTTCTATCTTTGACAAATAGCAAAAATATGATTGGGATAATTACATTTTTAAGACAATCTAATTAGAATTTCCCCCTCTCAATAATCAATCAAACACATCAGAGGATCAGAGGTATGTTATGTTTAAGTTCAAACCAAATAACATGCATTAACTTTACAGTTCTCTGACTTCTTGTAACTATATTTGCTACAGTTACCTCCAAGATCCCTACCACTTATCAAAAGGTTGGATCCCAGCCAGGAAATCAGAGACTATTTTTAGATCTTCCAATATTCAGCTCCCCATCCACAAGATGGTGTGTCATCTGTTTGTGGCCTGGTACTTAGATGTACTATAATCTCTTCCTTCCCAGGACAATTAAGAAACTGTCTCTGTTTCATGAGGAGCCAGGGCTTCAGGAAGGGTCCTACCACAGAGCCCCTGGAAATGAAACCTGAAACAGAAGGACAAATACAGCAGTTAGGAGCGAAACCAACATACTACTTCAGCAAGTCACACATTTCTTAATTTTACCCAGAGGAAAATCCAAATTCTCATAAATGTGGCATTATGAGCTTTTGTGCCCACTTCTTTCATCTAGTTTCTGACAATTCAAGATATAGACATTTCACCATGGGTTGGTCCTTGTGATCAAGAAAATTTAGGAAAGGAAATGCCTAGAATTTAGGTGGTATAAATAAGAATTTTATTTTAAAGAGCAGGGGGAGATATGATTGTAAATTGTATTTCATGATTATATTGCCAAACTCATAAAAGGTTGTTTTTAGTTTATTTGAGAGAAAGAGAGAGAGAGAGGGAGGGAAGTGGGGAGAGAAACATTGATTTGTTGTTCCACTTATCCATGCATTCATTGGTTGCTTCTTGTATGTGCTGGGACCAGAGATTGAACCCGAAACCTTGGTGAACTGGGATGACTATCTAACCAACTGAGCTACAGGGCCAGGGCCATAATGAAAGTTTTAAGTTTTACGATATCTACATACTACATTAAAACAGCATTCATATGTACTAAGGACAAGAGAAAAATAACTGCATGCACCATACAGACCACAGGATTTTAGCTGCGCCAACAGCCTCTCAAACCATACCTTTCACAAAGAGCTCTGACTTGTAGTCAGAAAGGAGAAAAAAAGAAAAAGCAAAGAGGAGGAAGAAAAATCAATGATTTCTGCTTCCTTCAAGAGAAAATACTTAGGGCAGAAAAATAGCAGGGTTTTGTAGTATATTATTAATAAGAAAACCAATTGAGCACAATTAAAAATGAAGAAAGCATTTGCTTAATGTAATTCATCATATTACCAATTCTGATACAACACAAATTGTTAATGCCTTATCCCTTAAACACTGTTCACGTCACAAAGTGCCACTAATGGGCATCCCTGACCAGTGGCATTTCCACTCCTGCCACGCTCAGCGCGCTGAACACTGGCCGCTAGAAAGCTCCTCCCCAGCACAGTGGTCATAGTCCCTTGAGGACTGTCCAAGAATTATGCGGCGGTTCTCAACCTGTGGGTCGCGAACAATGAAAATACATCCTGCATATCAGATATTTCATTACGATTCATAACTAGCAAAATTACAGTTATGAAGTAGCAACGAAAATAATTTTATGGTTGGGGGTCACCACAACATGAGGAACTGTATTAAAGGGTCGCAGCATTAGGAAGGTTGAGAACCACTGAATTATAGCCTCCAAGGCATGGAGAGCTTTCAGGGCATTTCCATATCCTCAATCCCACATGGTCTCCTTCTTAAGAAAGTGACTCTCAAGTGTCCCTTTTCACTTCCCCCTTCCCCCACTTCACAAAGGCAAGCTGCACCCCTCAATCACCCCAAATCTTAGATGGTGCCTTAGCCCAGAGTGTGAAAACCTATCGGGTGCTAACTAAAGAGACATTTGAAATACAGTGGGGCCTTGACTTACGAGTGTCCCTACTAACGAGTTTTTCAAGATACGAGCCGTCTCGGCTGATTTTTTGCTTTGAGTTGCAAGCTAAAATTCGGGTTACGAGCCAGCTTCAGATACCCCACCGCTAGTTGGCGCAGCGAACGTCACAGTGAACGCCACATCAGCCCAGCATCACGTGTCTCACTCGTTCACTTTTTGATTTGACATACAAGTAATCTGAGTTACGAGCTCCGTCACGGAACGAATTAAACTCATAAGTCAAGGCCCCACTGTATTGGTGTAGATTAAAGAAAACAAATGCTTTCTGAAGACTGGATATCACATCCTTAATGCAAATAGGGCCTTTTCATCCTTGCTTTCAATAAAATGGAAAGAGGGTCTGATAGAATTGTCAGTTAACAGACAATGAAATAAGATACTACTATGGCATTTTAGCATGTAACTTGGAAGGAGGTCCAAAATCTGAGTGGCCATGCCATCTGAAATTCCTTTCATGTCGTGGGTTATGTAGCCCAGTTCTCCCAGTACATCCATCTATAAAAACCAAAAACTAAGAATTACAATTGACATTGAAAAGGTAATACTGAGCTTGGCCAGTGAAAATCAGCCCTGCCATCCCTCAGATGGGAATAAGAGACACAGATAAAGCCAGCTGCAGAGTGAGTAGGAAACATATTTTCCCAGGACAAGCTGCAAAGAATCGTAACAACTCCCTTCTTTGAGTAACTGCATACTTTTTTACTCACATCACATTTATTACAATATATTGTTGTAAGTATTCTATTTTATTAGTTATTGCTGTTAATCTCTTACTGTGCCTAATTTATAAATTAAACTTTATCATAGCTATGTATGTATAGGAAAACACAGTATATATAGGGTTCAGTGCAATCTGTGATTTCAGGCATCCACTGGAGGGTCGTGGAATATATCCCCTGTGGATAAGAAGGGACTTCTGCAGAGCCATACTAGAGGTTAAGTGGTATCTTGTGCTTTTAATTTACATTTCCCTAATGATTAATGATGTTCAGCATCTTTTCAATGTTTTTATTGACCATATGTATATATTTGGAAAACTGTCTATTTGAATCTTTTTTTTTTTAAATATATTTTATTGATTTTTTACAGAGAGGAAGGGAGAGAGATAGAGAGTTAGAAACATCGATGAGAGAGAAACATCGATCAGCTGCCTTCTGCACACCTCCTACTGGGGATGTGCCCGCAACACAGGTACATGCCCTTGACCGGAATCGAACCTGGGACCTTTCAGTCCGCAGGCCGACGCTCTATCCACTGAGCCAAACCGGTTCTGGCTCTATTTGAATCTTTGACCCACTTTTTAATTGGATTATTTGTCTTTTTATTATTGAGTTGTGAGAATTCTTTATATATTCTGGATACACATTCCTTATCAAATATTAGACTTTCAAATATTTTCTCCAATTCTATGGGTTGTCTTTTTCTCTTTATTGATGGTGTCCATTGAAGTAAAGAAGTTTTTAATTTTGATAAAGTCCAATGTATCCATTTTTCCACACTTGATCTTAGCCAAAAGGCCTAGAAGTGATAATTTATCCATTTTTTCTTATGTTACCTGTGATTTTTATGTCATATAAAAGGTTTTGACAAACTCGAGGTCACAAAGATTTACTCCTTCATTTTCTTTTAAGAATTTTATATATTTGTAGCTCTTATATTTAGGCCTCTGATCCCTGTGAGTTATTTTTTGTATATGGTATAAAGGGGTCCAATTCCAATCTTTTGCATGTGGCTATCCAGCTGCTCCAGCACCATTTGTTAAAAAGACTATTCTTTCCATCACTGCTTTCTCTTCATACTTTTTCAAAAGTCAGTTGGCCATAAATGTGAGGTTTTTTTCTGGACTATCAATTCTATTCCACTGATCTGTATGTCTACCCTTATGTCAGTACCCCACTATCTTGAAAACTGTAACCTTGTAGTAAGTTTTGTAATTGGGAAGTATAAGTTCTCCAACTTTATTCTTCTCTTTGTTTTGGCTTTTTGGGTCCCTTGGATTTTCACATAAATTTTAGGATCACCTTGTCAGTTCAGCGAAGAAGCCAGAAGCAATTTTGATAGAGAATGGGTGAATCTGCAAATCAATTTGGGGAGTATTGCCACCTTCATAATATTAAGTTGTCCAATCTGTATACATGGATGTCCTTCTATAGATATTTAGGTTTTCTTTACTTCTTTTGATAGCATTCTGTAGTTTTCAGAGTATAAGTTTTACATAGAGAGTGATTCTTTTTAAAGGATGTCTTTCTAGTTCCTACCACTTATGGATTGAGGACACACACAGGCTGTAGCTGATTAAAAATATCTGGAGAAGATATTATATCAGAATGGCATGGGTGGTACCAACTCATCAGTATTTTAAATATGTGTAGCAGAGTTTGAAAACCACTGACTGAAGTAATGACAAGAGTTTCAGTGGTGTTTTAGAATTTTATTTATTTATGCTTAGTTATTTCTATTGTATCTCATTCTAGAAAGGAATTAAGCAGACTAACAATAAAATATAAACTAAATTAAAAGTGAAGACAAAAAAAGCAGGGGTGAAACAAGAAAGGAAAAAAAGGTGAAGACATGAATGGGGCTAAAAAATGCATACTATGATGATCTACTCTTTCCACACAAACGTGGGAAACAGAATCAGTATCATAACAAAGCCGCAAGTACAAATATTCTTGGCAATTAGACCAGAGACATGTGTGTAGCAGCCTCACCATGAGAGCAGTGGGAAGAAGTTCTGGCTGGTATCTCCAAGGCTTACTGCTCAGCATTCGTTCAGCTTACCTACATCCAAATGCCTGCCATCACTAAATCTACTTAAAAAGACAAATGAAAGCAAAGCCAAAGGAATCAAAGAAAGCTTTCAAAATGTGAAAAAATTAAAGTCTTATGGCAAACCCCTTGTAAAAAGACAGAGCCATCTTAGTCTACAGTTAAGAATATTTTGTTCTTCCAAAAAAGCAACGACAGACCAAATAAAACACAAATTCAGTGTGTCTTTTTTTTTTTTTAAATTAGAACAGAATAGTAGATAAAATGTCTTTAGATGACCAGGTCCAATCCTGCTCAATGCCTTCCATTTCCCACCCTGGTAATCCCTGTACCTGAATTTGTTTGTGGCTTGGGTGATTTCCATGTTAAATTCGGCCACTGGCACGCCCCTGGCAGACACTTGGGGAGCAAACATGGCAGCAGGATAAACCAAGGAGGAAGTTCCTACCTACAAAGCAAACAGATGGAAACAGACAAATGACCACACTATGCGAGAAGAAACATTATTTCAGAAAATCTCACATAAGCCCAGGCAGGTTTGTGGTTGCAGGTGTGGGGGGAAAACTAAGCTGGATGAGATAAATGGAGAGGATTTAAGGGACAAATCAGGAGTTAGGAGGCATCTTTTTTGGCTGATCACTGGAACTCAGAAAGATGTGTTATGAAAAGGAGGGCTGTGCAAACAGAGAAAGTGGCAACGAAATGACTCATCACCTTTGGGGTTAGTTTTGTTTTTGTTTCTGTTCTTTGCAGTGATGTAAATAATCCATGATCCTTTTTTTCTAAGTTAGATAACTCAAAGAAAAAAATAAATACATATCATTCATAACCCTACTACCCCAAGATAACCCTTGCTCACATTTTGATGGATATTCTTTCAGGTTATCCCCTATGGATATCTTATTTAAGAAAAGAGAAACATGCAAATTGACCATACTTTCCCTATGCCCCAAGCCACACCCACCAGCAAATCAGAGCAACTATATGCAAATTAACCCAACCAAGATGGCAGCTGGCAGCCACGGAGCTGGAGCAAGCAGGAGGCTTGGTTGCCCCGGTGATGGAGCTTGGCTTCCCACCCGCCCTGGGTGGCTGTGGCCTCTGCAAAAGGCAACAAAGTTTCAATTATAGAAGATAAATAAATCCCAGATACCTGCTTCCAGCCAGCCTCCACTGGGAGCTTGGGTGGCTAGGGGCCGTGGCCAGCCTGCAAACAGCCATCAGCCCCTCATCCAGGATGGCCAGGCACCCCGGCAGGACCCCCCCAATCTGAAGGGGGAGTGGCCAGCCTAAAAATGGCCCTCAGCCCATCACCCAGGCAGGCCAAGCACCCTAGAAGGCACCCCCACCCTGAAGGGGCTGTGGCCAGCCTGCAAACAGCCATCAGCCCCTCTCCCAGGCTGGCCAGGTACCCCAGTGGGGACCCCCACCCTGAAGGGGCTGTGGCCAGCCTGCAAACAGCCATCAGCCCCTCACCCAGGCTGGCCAGGCACCCCAGTGGGGACCCCCACCCTGAAGGGGGTGTGACCAGTCTGAAAACGACCCTCAGACCCTCACCCAGGCTGGCCAGACACCCCAACGAGACCCCCACCTGATCTGGGACACCCTTCAGGGCAAATCAGCCAGCTCCCACCCATGCACCAGGCCTCTATCCTATATAGTAAAAGGGTAAATATGCAAACTGACCCTAATAGCAGAGTAACTTGGAATCACTGGTCACTATGACACAAGAGATGCCCCCTGGTGGTCAGTGCGCTCCCACAGGGGGAGCTCTGCTCAGCCACAAGCCAGGCTGACGGCTGCCAGTACAGCAGTGGTGGTGGGAACCTCTTCTGCCTCCTCAGCAGCGCTAAGGATGTCCGACTACAGCTTAAGCCTGCTCCCTGCTGGCAAGTGGACATCCCCCGAGGGCTCCCGGGATGCTAGAGGGATGTCTGACTGCCAGCTTAGGCCCAATTCCCCAGTGAGCGGGCCTAAGCCAGTAGGTGGTCATCCCCCAAGGGGTCCCAGACTGCAAGAGGGCACAGGCTGGGCTGAGGGACTCCCCCAAGTGCACAAATTTTTGTGCACTGGGCCTCTAGTAGTTTTATAAACATTCTTTACAAGAATGGGAAGACTAGCTGGCTTATTTCTTCCCTGACTCACTTCTTCTACCTCTGTGACTTTCTAAATAAACTTTTGCTTATATTTGAGTCTTCACTCTGAATTCTTTCTTAGCCAGGACTCAAGTACTGAAGTTTTGTGAAGGGGTAGAGGGGGGTGATTGGGGAGAAGGAATGGGAAGATCAGAACATATTTTACAAACCAGCTTTTTTCACCTAGCCACTGACCCTATACTCAACTTCAGGGTGCACTCAGTAAACACTGGCTGAATGAGTACGCATCCATGAGAAAGTGACTCTGCTTTAAAGACATGTTAAGGAAAATTTGAAATATGCCTACCCTTTGTCCAGTTAATTCCACTTCTAGAAAATTTGTCCTAAGACAATAATTTGATGAGCATGTAAAAAGTTATGTCTGAGGCCCTGGCCAGGTAGCTTAGTGGTTACAGCATCATCCTGGTAATGCCAAGATTGCAGGTTTGAATCCCCCCGTCCAGGACACACACAAAAAGCAACCAATTTAATGCAATAAATAAAAAGTGGAATATCACATCGATGTTTCTCCTCTCTCTAAAAAATTAATCAATACATTTTTTAAAAGAGTTAATGTCTGAGGGATATTCACTATAACATTGTTTAATATGTCAAAAATTTTGAAATAGCCTGAAATGTCCAACAATAGAGAATTGTTTAAATGCATACACCAGAACACTGCATAGCCAATTAAAAGATGATGTACTGACATGGAATATGCTAAGTGAATTGCTAATTGAATAAAATAGTTTCAAAAAAGAACATATATGGACCCATTTAAAAAATTTTTAAATTACCATTTACACCAATATTATTTTATATTGGTTTCAGGTGTACAGCATAGCAGTTAACTATCATATACTTTACAAAGTGCTTCCCCCAGTATTTCCAGTACCCACCTAACATCATAAATAATTATTACAATACTAGAGGCCCGATGCATGAAATTCGTGCAAGGGGCTTGGCCCCTGCTGCCGTAGCGGCCACTTCTGCCTTGGCCCCACCACCGCAGCTTGGTCTGGAAGGTCTAATTAGCATGTTATGCTTTTATTATTATAGACTAGAGGCCCGGTGCACAAAAATTTGTGCACTCGTGGTGGGGATCCCTCAGCCCGGCCTGTGCCCTCTCGCAGTCTGGGACCCCTCGGGGGATGACCGCCTGCTGGCTTAGGCCTGCTCCCTGGGTGATTGGGCCTAAGCTGGCAATCAGACATCCCTCTGGCAGCCCGGGAGCCCTCTGGGGATGTCCACTTGCCAGCAGGGAGCAGGCTTAAGCTGTAGTCGGACATCCTTAGCGCTGCTGAGGAGGCGGGAGAGGCTCCCACCACCACTGCTATACTGGCAGTCGTCAGCCTGGCTTGTGGCTGTGGGAGCGCACTGACCACCAGGGGGCATCTCTTGCATTGAGCGTCTGCCCCCTGGTGGTCAGTGTGTGTCATAGTGACCAGTCATTCCCAGTCATTCTGCTGTTAGGGTCAGTTTGCATATTTACCCTTTTATTATATAGGATAGAGGCCTGGTGAATGGGTGGAGGCCGACTGGTTTGCCATGAAGGGTGTCCAAAATCAGAGTGGGGGTCCCGCTGGGATGCCTGGCCAGCCTGGGTAAGAGGCTGATGGCTGTTTGCAGGCTGGTCAAGCCCCCCGCAGTGGGGACCCTAACCCCATGGAGGTTTGGCCAGCCTGGGTGAGAGGCTAATGGCTGTTTTCAGGCTGGCCACACCCCCTTTAGGGTGGAGGTCCCCCCTGGGGTACCTGGCCAGTCTGGGTGAGGGGCTGAGGGCCATTTTCAGGCTGGCCAAGCCCCCCCGGTGACAGAAGCTCCCAGCCTGTCCCTTTTTTCTTTTTTCTTTTTTATTCAGGGATTTATTTACCTTCTATCATTGAAACTTTGTTGCTCTGAGTGGAGCTCAGAGCCGCCGCGGGAAGCTGCGCTTCCTCCATCATTGGGGAAACCAAGCCTCCTGCTTGCTCCAGCTCCGTGGCTTCCAGCCGCCATCTTGGTTGGGTTAATTTGCATATAGTCACTCTGATTGGCTGGTGGGCATGGCTTAAGGTGTAACGAAGGTACGGTCAATTTGTGTTTGTCTTTTCTTAGTGTAGATTATTGACTAGATTCCCTAAGCTATAATTTACATCCCTAGGACTGTTTCATAACTTCCAATTAGTACTTATCCATTCCTTCACCATTTTCACCCAGTCCCCTAATCAACTCCCCTTTGGCAACCATCAGTCTGCTCTCTGTATCTCTAAGTCTGTTTCAATTTTTTTTTGTTCATTTATTTTGTTCTTTAGATTCCACATGTAAGTGAAATCATATGGTATTTGTTTTTCTCTGTCTGACTTATTTCACTTAGCACAATACCCTCTAGGTCCGTCAATGCTGTCACAAATGGTAAGATTTCATTCTTTTCATGGCTGAGTAGTAATCCATTGTATATATGTACCACATCTTTCTTATCCACTCATTTATTGATTGACACTTGGGTTGCTTCCATATCTTCACTATTTTAAATAAGGCTGCAATTAACATAGGGTGCATATATTCTTTCTAATTAGTGTTTTGGGAGTATGAACACATTTTTTTAAAATTTTAATCAATATGTGTACATCTGCATGTGGAAAGGTCTAGACCAGGGGTGTGCAAACTTTTTTCTGTAAAAGACCAAATAGTGCTGTTTTTTTAAGGTTTTATAGGCCACATGGTCTCTGTTGCAAACATTCAGCTCTGTCAATGTAATGTGAAAGTAACTATAGACTATACAAAGAAGAAAGGGCATGGCTATGTTCCAATAAAACTTTATTAACAAAAACAGGTGGCAGGTCAGATTTGGCCCATAGGCCACAGTTTGCGCATCCCGGGACTAGAAGGAAACATACTAAAATACTAACTGATTATTTTTGTATGGTAGAATTATCAGATTTTTAATTTCTTCTTTTTGTGTTTTCTCAATTAAATTTAATAATGAGCATGTATTATTTTAAAAATTAGAACCAATAACATGCTCTTTTTATGATATATTTTGTGGGGAGAAAAGGATTTGAGAAGCCGAAGACATGGTCTTGCATTGTTTTGTATTTTAAGATAAATTCTTATTCACTGTTTTTTAGTTTTTATGTAGAACACCACAACTCTCAAAACACATCTTAAGAGAAGGAAAGAAGGAAGGAAAGTAGGAAGGGATGAAGGAATGGAGGGAGGGAGGAAGGGAGGGAGGGAAGGAAGAAGGAAGGAAGGGAGGGAGGGAGGGAGGTTGGGAGGGAGGGAACAACATTAATCTCCACCCCAGTCCTGGTGTTTCAGAAAATCCCCACAATCAGGTAAGAACGAAACCTACCACTAGACATAAGTCACAGAGGGACAGCTCTTTGTCAACCTCCTCCAGAATGGCAGAGTCCAGGTTTTCTCCAAACCACACTACATAAGGTCGCAGCAGGCCCCCGCACCCTGCCTCTTCACACCTGTAAAAACATCATCCTTAACTCAACCTTGCCTGAAGGTCTGCCAGGTGGGTCGGAGGAAGACCAGGGGCTGCCCCAAATCCAGTCTGTCCAGATAGGTCACCTCATCCTCTGATCACCATCCCTGCTCTCCCAGCCCATAGGAGCTTGTCTTGAATATGAAGCACTAACTTTAACTGCCTTATAAAGTTTCTATTTGTCTGAATGCATTGGGTTGATTTAGAGACAAATGTGTTTCAGCCAAGCTTGACCTTCTCTTTAAACAGTTTTCTCTTTCACAGTGACTTCATCACCCTCATGGGCATGACTCTGCTCAGTGACCCAGGCCTGGGAGGACACACTGGACTAAGATTTGTCTCAAACACCCCAATCATCCCCTAACTTCATCAATGACCTCCTTTTATTTTCTCGGAGATTCGCCTCTCTCTGGTCCTGTCTATAGTCAAGCTCTCCAGTATCAATTACTAGAAATCTGTCACCATTTCCTCCCCACTCTCTCTTAGTCATTTTATTCTACCTTCTAAAATAACCTCCCCCAAACATAGTTTTCATCATATTAATGTCTTACCCAGGAACCCCTCAGGATTCCCTGTTCTTTCAGATAGAAACTAGCATTTAGTAATGAAAAGCCTTATTAAGAAAAATAAAAAGGGTTCTGTGGTCAAATAAACCAGTGAAACATTAGCATATTGTAACAACTTTTTAGAGAGTAACAATGTACTTTAGCATATGAAATGTTCTGAGAAGTCCTACAGTAAAGCAAACATACTCTGACTTGGTTTAATCTAGTGTGATCTGAGCACATAACATCTTTTTTTCAAGCAATGCCTATGAACATCACATGGATATAGTGCTCGCTGAAACACTTTTGGACGTGCTATTTTAATATCTGGCTTTGAAAACTTGACAAAAATCTTTCTACATTTTTAAAAAAATCTACAACGTTTTGGTCCTATAATTTCATCTTTGCAAGACCTTTTACTGTCTCCATAAACCTGGATAAATAACACTGATGAGGAGGAAGAGGAGGAAGATGACAGTAACTAATGAAAAGCAAGAAGGATTGAAAAGCAGTTCTCTTTCCACAGGTTTGGTTCATCCTCTCTATTTCTGCCCTTGGCCTCATAGGTCAGGGCTGGTATTTACATTTGAGGATTTAAGAGGCATCTCACCAAATGAACTTGGATTTTGATTCCTAATTTTCTTTTCTTGCAACCTGGAACACCAAGTATAGATTAAAGATTTTACCCACCGGGGAAGTTTCTCCAATGGGATTCTGGCATCTTGCGTTTCGGGTTCTGGAGCACTGAATAAACAATATTAGAAAAGAGAACATGTCATTGGTATCATCAAAGAACAAAGGAATAACATAACCCAATAAGTATGTATATTTGCATAGCAGGGTATGGTACAAAACTCCTAATTAATACATGAGCTACTCAAAGAATGGACACCAACTAATTACTAGTGGTTTTACCTCAAGAGGGAATTTGTATGTGGGGAGGATGTAAAGCAGCCATATGCGCTAATGGGGGAGTTTCGTGACTTACATTTTATATGTTATCATTTGAATCTTCTTCGACATTATGTTAATATATTTCTTGTATACTTTATACTGATTTAAAATGATCAGGTAGAATTGTTCTCAATATTCTGAGTCTACTCTTAATTTCTTTCCCTAACTACAATAATAGTACACATTCATCATAGAAATGTTGAAAAATTCAAAAAGATATAAAGCAGAAATCACAATTACCTATCATCCCACCACTCCTGATAATTGCTGTTAAAATTTTGCACTCAAAGGCTTGTACCTGGGTTGCAGGTCTGATCCCCACCCTGCTGGGGCACATGTGGGAGACAACCAATCGATGTATCTCTGTCATGTTGATATTTCCCTCTCTGTCTTTTCCTTCACTCTCTCTCTCTCTCATCTTCCCTCCTCCCTTTCACTCTCTAAAATCAATGAAAAAATATCCTCATTTCTTGGGTGAGGATTAAAAAAAATACAAAGTTGGGATCAAACTGTATAGAGTTAGATCCTGTGGTTTTCACTTAATATTATAAATTGAGAGCAAATATTTCTTTCATAATATGGTATAATGTATTGGATCCTATTTTTTATAAATATCCATGCAAATCTTAGATTAATGTTTCATTTCCTCGCATTTATGTTCAATTTAAAAGAGAAAACAACACACGCTCATTCTATAGTACAGCATAATTACCCTTTTCCTGCAAAAGCTTCACAAATTGGACTCTTGTAATTCTCAGCCACAGCCCCACAAGAAGTGCATTGAGTTTTGAATATGCTACCTGAAAAACATAAGTCAAGCAAGACCAGAAATAATATCATCAAGAGCAACTGTCTCCGTGTCCAAAAGGGTACAAAATCACTTAGTTTTTATATGTTCATTTTAGCAAATGGGCCTACCCTAGGCATCATGGGAAATGTAAAGGCATGCAGTATTATTGAACAAGCCAGGAGCATCTGTCCTCCTGGACTTTGTACTCTTAAAGGGAAGAGAGACAGATGAAATAATCATTCATGACTAAGGAGCTCTCACATTACTCAGAGTGATGCTCAGGTAGGCCTGAACTGATCAATAGGATAGATGAAGCCAACCAACTAAGGGCATGATTTACTAAGTACATGATTGATAAAGGTTCAGTAGCTTGGGATGTATTTACAAATCTTAATTTTAAATTAATAAAGCTTGAATATTTTATCTAAAACCAGATCAATCAATAATTAATAAACTAATAAATGAAGAAAATAACTGCTAAAACTAGCAACCATTTGTTGAGCTCACCCAATAATGGTGACCACAATTCACTACATATTGTCATGTGCCCAGTGCTGAGCTGAGCATGTCACACACACTGTGGTGGATACACATTGTTCCATTGTCCAGTGTCACTTTGTTGAGGACCCATCTCTCCTCTATCTCATGCCAAACTGATGAAGGTGTCAATCACATCCTAAAATACAAGCTTGGATACACGTTTCAGACTGGTCCAATCCCAGTACCCCATCCCTCTAGCGATAGTGTTTGGTTAAAAGCAGGTAAGTGACCCAATCAAGGCCCCCCGAGGTTTGTTTTCTGAGGAGAGAGCTAAGTTAGAGTGAGCCTGGAGCTGCCAGACGTTACTTTGCTGGCACATGTAGGTGATCAACTACAGAGGGAGAGGTAAAGTAACTCTGAGTGAGCCAAGTTGAGGGAAGGAGAGGCAGAGAGGCAGGGAGAGAAAGACAGTGAGCCTGCTGCTGATGTCAGCTTCTCCCAGGCTCCTCAGTGTTGCCAACCAATGTACCTATTTTGTCAGTTTTAGCATGGCTACTTTCCCGTTAACATCTCTGAAGTTCAGACGCGTCCTGTAACTGCCCCTGGCCACATGACGGGTGTGATGTGGTTGCCATAGCCAGCACTTGCACAGACTTGTTGAAGGATTACACCAATGACTGACATGTGTCCTGACTGGACAAAGGCAGCCTCTGCATATTTCAGCCAACAAACCAGTTAAGGTCCATTTGGGGAAGAAAAATGAGTCCTGGTTGTCATCTAGATCCCTTCCACTCACACCTTTTGGTAAGATCAAGAAAGGCCAACGTCAAACCTGCAGAATGTGTGTCAGCAGCTTGGGAAGGAAACCCAGAGATAAGAGAGGATCCCCCTTTAGGAAATGCTGCATCACCGATCCCACACACTGTGGAAAACACAGTCACTGACACCTCGGAGACCTTCAGAAATCATTCAAAAGAAATATCTTAACCACTCTATTTTACCCATGTTTTGTTTTTTATATGCATGAGAGTGATAGTTTCTAAAAATATGTATCTAAATAAGTTTTAACAAGCCCTTTCTATTTGTATAAAATAGTGAATTCTAAGGAGTAATAAAATATGATATCATGGTTTGGGCAGATTATTTTCTTTCTAAGTATCACATTAAAAACATGTTGCGTCTTCAATTTGATGAAAGAAAGGGCTTCCTTTTGTTTTTACCTGAATTTGAAGAGAGTTCTCATCACTTGCAAACAAAAAAGTCCCAACTAATATGTATATATTATCTTATTTAATGCTTAAAATAACTGAATTCCGATTTTATACATTCTACATGGCAAGTGACAGCCTACAATCTGACACTGCAGAGAAACGAGAAGAGCCATGTGGAAAGTATCCTAGATCCAACAGAAGAAGGTGCCAAAAAGACTTCGGTTAGTAGGTGGCTGACACTGTTAGGACACAAAAGAGGGATGGGATCCAAGCGCACAGTGCTCAACCCTCATTATCAGGGTGACCATAAGCCTAGGCAAAAATGGGCAACCTCACGACGTACGCACACAAGCACCATCCCCATTGGCTCACTGTTCCTGGAAAAGCCACTATCAGAAATGCATCCCTTGGAATTAAAGTTTTGTAGACTCTTAAATGCAAATGTCCTTGGGGGAAAAATCCTTGCTTGCCCATTGATGCTCTTGTATGAATGGGTTTATTAGATTTTTGGTGAGAGCAAAGAGGGGAAAGGGGTAAGAAGACAAGAGGGGGAAAGGAGGCTGTCGTCAGGGAAGAGAGGGAAAGCCAGAGGGACCTAAGACAAAACCTATGTGTGTCACAACTTGGTGGGCTTGATTCAGTGAAGGTCGCTGAGCGGGTAGCTCCCTAAGGGCTGGAGGGCTTAGCAGAAGCACAGCCTCAGCAGACAGTACCAAGTGGGACAAAGGGAAAGTAAATAGATGCCCCAGGAATGCCAAGGCCCCCCATGCCAGATCCTGCTAAAGCCACCTGTCCAATGGCCCACCCCTCCTGGTTCCCTTCAGCCCAGCTGGGCAGTTGTCTCTAGCACAACCCCCTCAAGAGCTGCTCAGGGAGGGGTACGCACGCAGCTGTGCAGGCTAGCGCTTTCGCGGGGTAACAGGCGCACGCCAGACACCTGGGTGTGTTGTCAAAATGCAGATTCTGTCAGTGAGTCCAGGTGGAAAATGGCAGGACATATGCTTTCAAGTCTAGTTTCCCTCCCCGTGTGAGGCTGGGGGTTCTCACCATGGATTTCCAGAAGGTTCTTGGTACCAGCCTTGCGGTGCAGCTCATCGATGTTTTGGGTGATGACCATGACCCGGCGGCCCTGCTCACGCAGCCGGGCCTCACACTCAGCGATGGCGAGGTGCCCGGGGTTTGGCTTCACGCGCAGTATGACTTCCCTCCGGTAGTGGTAGAACTCCCACACCAGGGACGGGTTTTGGGCAAAGGCCTCAGGAGTGGCCAGGGTCTGGGGGTGAGAGGGGGCAGGAGTCAGGGAGGGAAAGAGCGCTCAGGCTCCGTCCAGAGCACAGGCAGCGGGGCGCAAACGGAACCTTGGAGTGCCGGGGGCAGTGGCGGAAAACACTGGCAGGCCCCTCTTTCCCTACAATGGGCAGGCAGCTCTGGGAGGGTGCAAGCTGGCACACGTCTGCTTAGGTTCGTGCAGCGTGGCAGCCACAGGGCAGGGGCCTGGGCACCAGCCTGTGTCCCAATCCTGGGACTAACAAGGGACCTTGGAGAAATTGGTTTTAATTTCCCCAATTATAACTCAGAGAAAATACAACCTGTCCCATTTGACCCTCAAGGACGTTATGAACATGAGGTAAAGTAATATGCAAGAAGATAATTTAGGTTGGAGCTCCAAAATGTATGGAGTCAGTATCATTTGTCCAGGAAAAAAAGTGAAATGTAAAATGTCCAATTGAAGTATAATGGCCATAGTTGAGAAACTCAGTTTTTATCACTTACAGTTACACACTCACCATACACATTATATTAACAAAACATAGAAGAATATGTATTTTAAGGTGCAATGCCTCTTCTAGGACAGACAAATCTCATCTACAGTGAACAGACAGCAGAGAAGTAGTTGTCTAGGGCTGGAAGCTGACAGGAAACATACAAGGGAACCTTGGCAATGACCAAAATATTCTGTATCTCCGTGGTGGCAGTGGTGGTATCATGCATTTTATTTTACTGTAAAGGTCCCTAACTGCCTGGTAGCCATGTCAGCCTTCATTTGGGGAGTGGATCATCTACGCTGTGGATTATCCATTTCAACCCTGTACTTCCTTCCTTCCTGCCCTCTACTTAGAGCACATGAACCTGGATATACAGGGGTGGGCAAAAGTGGATTTACAGTAATTAATTAATAAAACAAGAATAAACTGTGCTTCGTCAACTCACAACTGTAAGCCTACTTTTGTGCCCCACCCTGTATGTGTCCTGGGAACACAGCTGGAGTCAAACGTAATCTATTGCTTCCCCACAAAATCAGCTGCTCTGACCTGACTGACCACCCTCTGTAAGTTCCTCCTGACACCATATGAGCCCCATCCCCTGATTCTCTAAATTAGGGGAGGCTCTCTGTGGCTCCTCTTTCTTGTGGGACCCTAATGGCCCTCACTCTTCCTTCTCCTCTCCTTCACCTTTAGGGTGATGATGCCATGTCTACATCCCCAGGCTTTACCTGGAGGGCAGCAGAGAGGTGACAGAACATCCTAAACCCGTGGTCGGCAAACTGCGGCTCGTGGGCCACATGCGGCTCTTTGGCCCCTTGAGTGTGGCTCTTCCTAAGCCTTAGGAGTACCCTAATTAAGTTAATAACAATGTCCCTACCTATATAGTTTAAGTTTAAAAAATTTGGCTCTCAAAAGAAATTTCAATCTTTGTACTGTTGATATTTGGCTCTGTTGACTAATGAGTTTGCCGACCACTGTCCTAAACCAAGCATGTCAAACTCAAAGGCTAACATGGGCCAAGTAAACAAGGAGCAAGTTTATGTGGGCCTCAAAAAAACAAAAGCTTCAATTTTCATAGAAACATAGGTTTATTTCTATAGAGACATGCTGAATACAAAGGGCTGAAATAAATGAGTGATTGTTAACATAAAATAATAGAACATTTTAATAAAAATTAATATTTTTTCTTGAACATTAACTTACCAGACACTGAATAAGTGCACAAATTAATAAGCATAACACAAATAAACCTATTTTTCTTGTTCTCTGAAAGTGAAATATTTCCTGTTTTTCACACCAAACAAGTCAGTACAAGACTAATGACATGGCAATTGGCAGCTAAAATATTTGCTGCTAGTATTAGTGGAGAGAAATGGTGCACTTGTGCATAAGGTGCATAAGTCATGTAAGGCGCATAAGGGAAATGAATGCAACATGATTATAATAATCAGTCATTAACAAATGTTGTAGTTATTAATAATTATGTATAACGGGATATTGTAAAAATTAAATAACGAAATTTTTATTAAAATGTTTCTTACATACCGTTACATTCGCTGGCCCCAAAAATATTCGTTGTGGGTCACATGCGGCCCACGGGCGGCAAGTTTGACATGCTTGTCCTAAACATTTGCCATCCTGAGACCTTTCATTCAGGAAAGAAGGGCAGGTTCATTAACCCTTCACACAATAAAAAATCACCTGCTAAATTTGGAAGTCAAGTATTGAAGTAATTATTTATGATTGCTTTCATTCAACCAAGAAACATCTATTAAGCACCTACATTGTTCCAGAGTTCTCAGAGCTGGGGAAGGAACAATAAATGAAACAGACAAAATTTCCTGCACTCAAAATTAGGGATTGCCTGGGGGAGCGGAGGAGACTGACTGCAAAGGGCCTTGAGGGAATAATCCGGGGTACAGAAATGTTCCACATGTGATCTTGGTGGTAGCTACACTCTGTATACACTTGTTAGAAGTTATTGAATTGTATACTTAAAATTGGTGAATTTTATTGTATGGCTAATATACCTCAATAAAAATTTTTAAAAAAATCTACACCCCCAAAGAACTTAATTTCTAATGGCCTTCATATAAAGTTTTGAACATTAACCTCTAGGCCTTCAAGAATTCAACTTCAGTGTTATATGAAAAGTTCACAGAAACTTTAAAAATGTGTAATACTTAATTTCAATATCTATAGTAATGAATTATGCTAATCAAGGTTTTCTGATTCTACTTTTTTTATCTGAAAAAATGCAAATTATAAAAAATAAGGGAAGTGGCTGCTTTGCTTAAATCTCAGATCTTAATCATATGGACACTGTGTCGATGCCAAAATGAACAGGACAAGAGTCACTGCCAATTTCAAAACTTTGCTCTCTGGGTCTCAGCCATCATTAGGTTCTGAGTCAAACTCTGTTATGGCCTCATTCAGAACAGCCTCTTAATATTCTGGAAACACTACTAACCTGAGCTTGCCATTTCCTCCAATAACCTCCGGCTCCTCTGAAAGTTGGAATCCCACTTTCAGCACTAATACCAGCCCCTGAAATGATGACTATGTGGTTTGCTTTTGCAAAAAGTTTCCGAAAATCGGCCATACCTAAAGAGAGAATAAAATCTTTATCAATCCAGTGCACCATTTGGATATTTATATCTCATACCAATCATCTGCCTAGGTTTCCCCTGCTCTCTGAAAGTAGAGTGTTTCTTATGAAAACTTGCATAAAGCAGAGAAGCAACTACCTTAGGGCACGTTTTGCTAATGGATGCACAGAATAAGTGGAGATAAAGCACAGATGCTCACAGACACAGTTCAAAGCTGTAGCGCTTGATGCTGAATGTAGCTTCCAGAGAAGGAGCTTGGGGGGGCCACTCTTGCTGCTGGGGTGTGCCCTGTCTCTGTAACTCGCTGCAAGACTAATGCTGAATGCTATTTTTGTTTTAAACCTTTTTTCAATGCAAAATCCTCTTCAGTTTTCTTTTGGTTAGCGAAAACAGATACTAATTTAGTTTTTTGTAATAGTGAAGTGGTGTAGAGCAGCGGTCGCCAACCTTTTGGACCTCACGGACCACCGGTTGGCGACCGCTGGTGTAGAGCAAACTTTGGAAAAGCAGGAGATATCTATATTTTGAAACTTGACCTTGTATGACATTATACTTTAAGATACTCAAATAAAAATCATTCCTATATCATGAAAACACTATCCATGCCCTTGATGTGTGAATGTACAACATCTTAAGAAAGAAGCAGGGCCTTCAAGCACACAGCACTGGCTCTGAATCTCAGCTCCACCTCCACCCATGTGTGAGATCTTCTGTGAATGACTGACCTTCTGCTATCCTGGGCTCCCTTCGCAATTTAATGTGCACAATACTGTCCTCCCCAGGACAGGGCTGCTATGAAGATTAATGGATGGGCATGCAACTTCCCTCATGAAAGTAAAGACAAGCTGTGTGTGTGTGTGTGTGTGCGCGCACACACACACAGCTTCTTTCAGCATTACTACCAAAGGTCAGGATGAGGGCCCCTCCCGTGAACAAATGCTGTGCCCTAAACCTAGACACATGACTTTTTCCTTTACGGCTCAAATAAGAGCTAGACTTTTCAACAAGATGTCATCAGAGACTTGGAGTAACAAAAGGGAATTGAACATAGAGAATAACATGGCAGTGCGTAATCATAGTCACAGACCATGGCTTGCCCTCTAGATCAAAGGCCTTGCTCTGCACCTCCAGGCATTCTACCCTGATCTCAGACCAACACAGCAGTAGCCATTACTGAGTGAGGGCTCACCTCACCCCAGGCTGTGCCAAGCACTTTACATGGGTCACAGTATGAGTTTGCCCCTGAAGAGAATGTCCTCATCCCAGGATAAGAACAAGGAGCCAGACTTGACAGTGCCACTGTGTCTCTTGGGTGGCAGAGTATTAGGTCAGGACCCAGCATATGGCTGAGGGCAACACCCTTCTCTCACAGACACTGCGGCTCTGCAGGCCCTCATGCGAGGGGTAAGTGCTTAGCTCCAGCAGGCCAGATGTAAGCCGTACAGAGCTGAGCATAAACTTCAGGGAGAAGTGAGACTCCCTCTCTGCCCTCTACCTGGAAAAGCGAGTGCCAGACCAGCATTGCCTGGGGCTGGCCTGGGCCATGAAGCAGACATCTAGGAGTGGCCAACCTGTGCTAACAGAAAAATTCAGCAAAAAATGGAAGTGAGTCCCACAGCTGATGGAGTGGACTTTCTGGTCTTCCAATGGCAACCAAGGTTAACCCTTGGGCTGACTGAGCACACACTAAGAGATGGAACTGGTTTCAGAAACAGAAAAGCAGAGGCTCCAGCTCCCTGCTGGCCACATTCCTGGAGCTCTCTGGGATCATTTTTCTCCCAGCAAGGCTCAAAGGAATGAAGATGGCTCAGGCACATTGTTGCCTTTAGGTATAACCAGCCCAACTACCTGCCAGCCATGTTAACACTCTGCCTACCCTCACATACCTTTCAGAAATGGACTGATGTGAAAAATAAGGCCTGCTAAAGCTGTCCAACCAAGAATATTTCTGAAAAAAATATCTAATCTGGGTGGATCAGAGTTTGTAGTCCGATCTATCCCCTGAGAGAACAAGATGCTAACTACATCTTGTAACTATTTATATGACTCCTGGGTTGAACCATACAAACATATTTAAGGATTTCAAATTTCACCCATAAAACTTTCCCCCGCTCTGAAAGCCTTTTCTACCTCAAATGTAAAGTCTGTCATCCTTTTGATGAATACATTCCCAGGTCAGAGTGACTTCTACTAAGGTACCACTTTAAGCAATTTCTAGAAACAGATAAAGAAGTCAACTCAGGTTTGGTTTTTGGAAAACAGGATGTAAGCTATAATGTTAAAGCTGTGTTATAGACAATATTTCCTAACTGCTCAAGGAAAACACACCAGCATGTTTTGCAGTTTCAACCCAGGTGGCCCACTTTTTGTCAAGCACATGCTTCTGGGTCCCACCACAGCCTCTAGCAGCCTGTCCTGCATAGCTGTGAACACTAAGGGTTGGACAGCTGAGTGGAACTGGGTTATTTGGGCTCTTTATTGTTCCTGAGATTGGGCAAAATAGAAGGAGGTATTATTACAATTCAGCAGACTTGTAGTATTAGAAAAAGTTATCCAAAAGTTGAAAATGAGGCAAAAAGAGTTCAACTTGGCCTTTCAATGCCACACTGAAAAACTGTTTAACAAGGATCATTTATTATACAAATATGTTAAACTCTATACCCACTACAGAGGAAGGACCCAGATATATTAACTTGTAGGTTTTTGTCAGGTAGAGATTTACAGAGGATACATGAAATCTTATGCTAATCAACAAAATAACCTTCTTGATTAAATAACATATAATTTCCCCAAATCAGGGAAGAGGATGGATGCCTTAAAACAAAGATCAGGCTTGTCATGCCTGCCATAAATTGCTAGCAGCCTTCTGAGCATATTACAGGAACTAGTTTCAGGGAAGGACATGCTGCTGGCTCCAGACTTGCTTACTCTCAACCATAAAAATGACCTCCACTTGACCAGCTTTAAGATAATCATTGGGAATGGACTGTGCTGACTTACATATAGAAAACTTTCAACCCCACCTACCCCTGATTTCTTTGTTCTGCTTTCCCTCTCCTTCCTAATAAAAACCTCTGCCCGCACTGAGATGTTAAGATGATCTTTGGGATGAGAGTCCCCCATCTTTTCAGGTTGCCAGCACTTGAATAAACCTCTTTCCTTCTCACCAGCACCTGTCTTACAAGTTTGGCTTTGGTTGCTGCAGGCAGCCAACCCTGTGTTTGGTTAGAGATACAAATCATTTCTGTCCAGTAAAAAAAATTTAATCCAATATTACCCTGTAGGACAATCATCAGCTTTACTCTCCTGCAGAGAGCTGAAGGGTTTAAAATACAAATCATGTGTGAAAGGCGTAAGTGCAAATATTTTATGAGAAGCAACAAAGTCTTAAACAGACTTACCTTAACTATTAAGAGATCATCTCTGACCTGTCTTGGAAGGGGCTTGCCTAAGGAGAAAAGGACAGAATGGCCTCTTCCAAAATCTTGCCCAGCACCCACTTCGATATAATCATTCCCCTCAAAGTGTAGGAACTTTCAGGTACTTCAAATTCCATTAGAGATGAGGAGATGGCAGGCTAAGAAAGACCTACTTGAACTTGGACGAGCCATTGTTAGGCAAATCTTGGTTCCTGTGGCAACTGGAGACTTCAATCCACAATACAGTTGGGAAATTAATCGGCTGGGGACAATCTGGAGAAGTCCCATCAGGTTTTCTTTATAGTATTAATTCTTGAGATGGACTTCAGAAAAATCACAAAAACAAATAGAAACAATCAGAAAATACTTGTATTTCACAAATATACATTATATATGTACATATATTATATATGTACATATGAAGGCCTTTACAATATTTTTAGTGTCAGATCTTCATGGTATTCAGCTGTTTTCAATTGGTTCTCAAGAGCATCTACGTGCCCTGGAGCAGTGGTTCTCATGTGTGGTTCCCCAGACCAGCAGCAACAAAACCACCTGAGATTTTATTAGAAATACAAAGTCGTGGGATCCACTCCAGGCCCATGAATCAGACATTTTGGGGATGGGGGGCCCACATTTGTGTCCAGGTGATTCTGATGCTCAAATTTGAGAATCTGCCTTAGAAGATTGAGAAGGGGTTAGATGTGAGAATTCATTTGAGAAACAGGTTCAGCTGCTTTTAAAAAGATGTGAAAATCATTGGCCTCTCATTTTTTGGTTAAAATACTGTTCTATAAGAATGTAAATTCTGAGAACTGAAGTAAGCAGAAAAAATATTTTTATGACAATAAACAGGATAAAGGTGTTCTGTGAAATTATTTACGTTTAATAGGAGAACACCAAGGCCTATGAGATAGTGCGAGGCCAAAAACTGTAAGCAATTCAAATGGCCATCAACGTATAAATGGGTAAACAAATTGTGGTCTATCCATGCAATAAAATACTGTTCAGCAATAAAAGAACCAACTGCTAATACGTAAAACAACATGGATGAATTTTTAAAGAATCAGATAATAGTAACCTGCAGTGGAAAAACCTGGCAGACACTATCTTAACCAAGTAGTCAAAGTGAATCTTCAGTAATAAGACACTGACTTCATGTACCCACCTGGTAGGATGCAATGAGGAGGGCAAAACATCATTTGTGTTGTATTTTCCCAAAAAAATGCATTTGCTCAATTTAATTATAAGCAAGCATCAGAAAAATCCCTATTGAGGGTCATTCTACAGCAAAACTGGCTAATACTCTTTAAAAACGTTATCAAGGTTATGAAAGATAAAGACAGGGGACTTGTCCCAGGTTGGAGATTGAAGAAACAGGACAACTAAATGCAATGTGATATCCTAGATTGGATTCATAACTTGAAAAAGATCTTTAGTGAGAGAACTGACAAAATTTGAATGAAGTCTGAAAATTAGTTAATAGTACGGTATAGATGTAAATGTCCTCGTTCAGACCACTGTACTGTAATTTATGTCAGATATTAACCTTAGGGGAAGTTGGGTAAATAGTACATGGGAACTCTGTGTACTATATTCGCAACATTTCTGTAAACTTAAAAATATTTCAAAATAAAGTTTTCTTTAAAAAAAGGAAGATAAGCATTATACTAAGTGAAAGGCTACATGTTTGAGACCATTGAGATATTCTTTTTTTAACCCATTACATATTTTTATTAAAAAAGAACTATATTTTCAACAATAACAAAAATGTACTTAAAGGAGTAGTATTGATTACATTTCTGCAAATCTCTTTAATGTCGGGTTAAATAGAATATAACTCACTTCTCATATCTGTTCCTGCATTCAATGTGTTGCCTACCACACCCTTATTTAGTCTCTGCTCAGGTCCTCTGTACCTGATTTTCTTTTTGCCATATATTCTTCCCTTGGCCCTTTCCATGCATTACATCTCAGCTTAAATATCATTTCCTTAGAGAAGTCTCTTCCAACCATGTTTACATTTGCACCCTTTTGTCAATTTCATCACCATGCCCTTTCCAGCGTATAATGTGAAGGTAAGAAACATCCAAACCTGTAGAGAATAAATATTTATAAGAGTTTATGTGAGCCAAACTGATGACATATGCCAGGAGCAAGATTTCAAATGGTTCCCCTTTATATGATATTCTGAAAAGGCAAAACTGTAAGTAGAGAAATCACATCTATGGTTTTCAGGGTCCGGGGGAGGGAGGAGGCAAGGAGGCCCAAGAAACTTTTTTAAAGCAATGAAAAATAGGGGTGCTAGAACGACAGGAAGAGGAACAAGGGTTAGAAAACCTATTTGAAGAAATAATATCAGAAAACTTCCCTAATGTGAAGAAGAAAAAAGTCACATAAGCACAGAGAGTCCCCAAAACGATGAACCCGAAAAGACCCACATCAAGACACATCATAATTACCATGGCAAATGTTCAGGACAAAGAGAGAATCTTAAAGGCTGCAAGAGAGAGACAGAAAGTTAACCTACAAGGGATATCCCATTAGATTATCAAATGATTTCTCAACAGAAACACATCAGGCCAGCAAGGAATGGAAGGAAATTTACAAAGTGATGCAAAGCAAAAGACTGAATCCAAGAATACTCTATCCAGCAAAGCTATCATTCAAAATTGAAGGGCAAATAAGGAGCTTCACAGACAAAAAAAGGCTAAGGGAGTTTATCACCACCAAGCCAGCAATGCAAGAAATGGTAAAAGGACTGGTATAAAAAGAAGAAATAAAAAGGGAAGAAGGAACACAGGCACAAAAAATAGAAATGGCTACAAACAAGTACTTATCAATAATAACTTTAAATGTAAATGGACTAAATGCTCCAGTCAAAAGACATCAAGTAGCTGAATAGATAAAAAAAACAACACATGACCCATATGCATGCTGTCTACAAGAGACCCAACTCCGAACAAGGGACTCACACAGACTGAAAGTGAAGGGATGGAAAAATATCAATCAGGCAAATGGAAATGAAAAAAAAAAACCAACCTGGTATAGCAATACTTATATCTGACAAAATAGACCTCAAAGTGAAGGCCATAACAAGAGATAAGGAAGGCCACTTCATAATACTAAAGGGATCAATACAATAAGAGGATATAATCCTAGTAAACATATACTAGTATGCACCCAATGCAGGAGCACCCAAATACATTAAAAAAAACTCCTGGAAGATATCAGGGGAGAGATTAACAACAATACAATCATAATAGGGGACTTTAATACCCCACTGACATCACTGGATAAATCCTCTAAACAAAAAATCAGCAAAGAAACAGCAATCCTAAATGACTCACTAGATCAGATGGACTTAATTGACATCTTCAGAACAATTCACCCCAAAGCCACGGAATATACGTTCTTCTCAAGTGCACATGGGACATTTTCAAAGATAGACCACATATTAGGTCACAGGCAAAGTCTCTCCAAATTTAAGAAGATTGAAATCATATCAAGCATCTTCTCAGATCACAATGGCATAATATTAGAAATAAACTACAATAAAAAACAATAAAAAAATTCAAACACTTGGAAACTTAATAGCATGCTATTAAACAATGATTGGGTTACCAAAGAGATCAAAGAAGAAATTTAAAACATCCTGAAAATGAATGACAATGAAAACACAACAATCCAAAATCAATCGGATACAGTGAAAGCAGTCCTGAGAGGGAAGTTTATAGCTCTACAGACCTACCTCAGAAAACAAGAAAAAATGGTAATAAATCATCTAACTCTACAATTTAAAGAATTAGAAAGAGAGCAACAAGAAAAACCCAGAGTGAGCAGAAGGAAGGAGATAATAAAGATCAGGGTGGAAATAAATGACATAGAGACCAAAAAAAAAAGATCAATGACACCAATAGCTGGTTCTTTGAAAGGATAAACAAGATTGATGAACCTCTCGCAACTCAGAGGGAAGGTAGGGGAGGGTGGGGGTAAGGGGGAGAGATCAACCAAAGGACTTGTATGCATGCATATAAGCCTAACCAATGGACACAGACACCAGGGGGGTGAGGGCATGAGTGGGGGTAGGGGAGCAATGGGGGGATAAGGACACATATGTAATACCTTAATCAATAAAAAAAGCAATGAAAAATTCTATGTCTTTATTTTGTGCTTGTTTTTCAAATCTCATAGAACTTTATAATAAAAAGAGTGAATTTTATAGTATATAAATTGTATTTCAATAAACCTCACTTAATGACAAAAAAGCATGTCAACAAATTTTCATTGTAACCTGTCTCTGCTGTAATTAAAAAAAAAAAAAAACTAAACAAGAAGATTGGAATACCGAAGAGAAAATGGGGTAGTGTTGGTTTCCAGAACACTTCAGGAGACAAGAGCCTCTGGCTGCCTGGAGTCATTTTCTCAGGGAATTTAGGTCAGAGTCAGAAAAGGCACTTGGCTGACCGGTTACCAGTGGAGAAGGTGGGCAGTCTCAGACACCACCACTAGGAAGGCCACTCTGGTGAGCAGCTTGTAGACTCTAACAATGGAATGCCCAACCATCATGAAAATCACCCCATGGAGAAAATAGCTTGGCATGATTTTCAACCAGCAGGGGCATGATAAGCTTTGACAAGCTTCAATTTGTTTGGAAAAATTAATTATCGGAATACCTTAGTAATGGATAAGTAAGGTGTTACTATAGTTTATTTTTTAATTATGGAAAGATTTAAACATCTACAAAAATACGAGTTATTGTTCTATCGCCTAGCTTCAATAATGATCAAGAAAAGGTTTTTTTCCCAAAGAACATATACGCATAGCCCATGGACAGACACTAGTGCTGGGAAGGCCTGGGGAGGGGGTGTGTGGAGTGGGATGAAGTAGGTCAATGGGGGAAAGAAGGGGACATCTGTAATACTTTCAACAATAAAGTTAAATTTTAAAAAAGGAGTTTTCTCAGATCCATTTGAGGCTTTAAGATATTGTCATAGATGATATTGTTGTTTTTTTTAAAATATATTTTATTGATTTTTTACAGAGAGGAAGGGAGAGGGAGAGGGAGTTAGAAACATCAATGAGAGAGAAACATCGATCAGCTGCCTCCTGCACACTCCCCACTGGGGATGTGCCTGCAACCAAGGTACATGCCCTTGACTGGAATCAAACCCGGGACACTTGAGTCCGCAGGCCGACGCTCTATCCACTGAGCCAAACCAGTCAGGGCCATAGATGATATTGTTAAACTTGCACATCTTGAAAACTGTAAAGTACTCAATACTGTCTAACTTTACTAAAAGCTCCTTACATGTTGCATGAAGTTACTACGTTATCATTTTGAGCTTAATATATGTCTTTAGTTATTTCTCCCAAAGATGTTTGATTCCACTGTTGCTTTATAATATTTTAATTAGGAGACATCAATTTGATCTAGAAAATTTTTTTCTTCTGCTAATTTTAAATGTTAGCAAACATTCCCATTTATGGCCAAAGAATTCTGAATAACTCCTGAATAAATTGTCATATTTTTTCTCAGACATAAAGGTATGATTTTATTTTGTTTTTTAAATTACATTTAAAAAATATTTTATTGATATTTTAAATGTGTGGGGTTTTTTTGTTTGTTTTTTTACTTTTTTAGAGAGAGGAAGGGAGAGGGAGATAAACAACAATTGGCTGCCTCCTGCATTCCTCATACTGGAGATCAAGCCCACAACCTGGGCCTGTGCCCAGACCTGGAATTGAACTGTAACCTCCTGGTTCAAAGGTCAACACTCAACCACTGAGCAACACCAGCCAGGTGTAACTGGTGACCTCTTGGTTCATGAGACCATGCTCAAGCAACAGAGCCACACTGGGGGCTTTTTTATTGATTTTTAGAGAGAGAAAGGGAGAGAGAGAGAGAGGCCAAAACATTAGTGTGAGTGCAAAGCATTGATCAGGTGCTTCCTGCATGTCCCCTATGGGGGATGGAGCTATAACCCTGGGAATGGTACTGGCAACCTTTTAGTGGTTGGGACAACTACCAACCAGCTGAGCCACACTGGCGAGGGCAGACATGAAGGTAAGATTTTAAAAGTCATTAAGAATTTAAAGAAGGATCTCTTAACCTTTGAGATAGCATGGAGGGACCAGGAAAGCATTATGCTAAACAAAATAAGCCAGTCAGACAAGTATAACATGATCTCATTCATGATCTCTAAAGAACAAAATAAACTGATGAACAAAATAGATCCACAGACATAGAAGCATGAAACAGACTGTCCAATCTCAGAGGGAAGGCAGAGGTGAGGGGATGGGATGGAGAGAGATTAACCAAAGAACTTTATGTATACTAGAGGCCCAGTGCACTCAGAAGGGGGGTTCCCTCAGCCCAGCCTGTGCTCTCTAGCAGTCCGGGAGCCCTTGGGGAATGTCCAACTGATGGCTGGCAGTTGGACATCCTTAGCGCTGCCATGGAGGCAGGAGAGGTTCCTGCCACCACTGCTGTGCTTGCCAGCCATGAGCCGGCCTCTGGTTAAGTGGCGCTCCCCCTGTGGGAGCACACTGACCACTGGGGAGCAGCTCCTGCATGGAGTGTCTGCCCCCTGGTGGTCAATGCACGTCATAGCGACCAGATGTTCTGCCATTGGGCCGAAACCGGCTCTCTCACATTCCCCGAGGGGTCCCAGATTGTGAGAGGGTGCAGGCCAGGCCCAAGGACCCCACGGGTGCATGATCGGGGCTGGGGAGGGATGCAGGAGGTTGGCCAGCCAGGGAGGGACTGCGGGAGGGCTCCAGCAGCAAGCTAATCTACCAGTTGGAGCATCTGCCCCCTGGTGGACAGTGCACATCATAGCGAGCAGTTGAGTGGCTTTAGCATATCATTAGCATATTACACTTTGATTGGTTGAAAGGCCGACTGACCGGACACTTAGCATATTAGGCTTTTATTATATAGGATGTGCATCATCCATGGAAACAGACAATAGTGTGGTGAAGGCCTGGGCAGGGGAGAGGCTGGAAGGGGCAAATGGGGGGGGGGGGAAGGGTACATCTGTATTACTTTCAACAATAAAGATAAATTGTTTAAAAAAGAATTTAGGCTAGCTAGTTTGGCTCAGTGGATTAAGTGTGGGCCCACGGACTGAAGAGTCATGGGTTCAATTCTGGTCAAAGGCATGTACCTTGGTTGCAGACTCCATCCCCAGGCCGGGTCATGGCTGTGCTAGAGGCAACCAATCGATGTGTCTCTCTCACATCGATGTTTTGGTCTCTCTCTCTCTCTCCCTTCCATTCTCTTTAAATATCAATGGAGAAATAACCAGAAGAAAAAGAATTTAAAAGATCCTAAAGTCCAGCTGGTGTGGCTCAGTGGTTGAGCATGGAGCTATGAACCAGGAGGTCATGGTTCGATTCCCAGTCAGGGCACATTCCCAGGTTTCGGGCTTGATCCCCAGTGGGAGCCAAGCAGGAGGTAGTCAATCAATGATTTTCTCTCATCATTGATGTTTCTATCTCTCCCTCTCCCTTCTTCTCTGAAATTATTAAATATATATTTTTAAAAAATGAGAAAACTGATAACCACTTTTAAAAATCAATGGAAAAAATATCCTCTGGTGAGGATAAAAAATAACAGATAATCAACAGAGGTATGGATGAAAAATGGGTTCTAGGTAAGGAGCCTCACAGGGTGATCTGATCATCATAAATTTCTAACTATGCAGGTCATGGTGGGTAGTCACACTGCAGACATATAACTTTTTAGTTAAGAGGTTTATCTCTGCCTTAAACAAGACCTGTCCATTGTTTTTGTGCATCTAGGTTAACACACCTTTGAAATAAGCATAATCACCCTCAAGAAAGCATATAATCTTGTTCATGTAATCTTCCTTAGTTACCTCTTTAATTTCAATACATAAAAGAAACTGCAGCCCTGGCCAGGTGGCTCAGTCAGTTGGAGTGTCATCCCACACACCAAAAGCTTGCAGGTTTGATCCTAGAGGGGTGCATACAGGAGGCAACCAGACAATTTTTCTCTCTCACATCAAAGTTTCTATATCTCTCTTCCTTCCTCTCTCTAAAAAAAAATCAATAAAAACATATCCTGGGGTGAGGATTAAAAAAAAAGAAAGACACTTCAGGCCCTGGCTGGATAGCTCAGTTGGTTAGAGCATCATCCCCATATACCAAGGTTGAGGGTTCAAATCCCCAGGCAGGGTACATATAAGAATCAACCAGTGAATGTATAAATAAGTGAAGCAACAAATCAATGCTTCTCTCTCTCTTCCCCTCTCCCCCTCTGTGTCTAGAATCAATAAATAAAAAGAAGAAAAAGAAACTGCAAATCTAATTCTCCAGAGAATTTGAGAACTTGCTTTCTGGCAATGTCATCAGTTTGGCTCAAATAAATTCTTATAAAAATTCACTACAGGTTTGGATGCTCTTACAAGGCAGAGGCAGTTGACTATGCTGCTATCAGTGTAATTCTTCTACATGAGGATCTAAGGATGGGTCATCTGCTGGGTAGCTGTGCAATGAAGACAAGTCTTCATTCTACTGTGAACATGAGTTTGAATCTGTTGAGTTGTCAGAGAATATTAAGGAATTTTTAATTGTAGGATTGACAACATTAGAACTTGTATTATCTGGGTAAAATATTACTATTTTTCATCTAAGTTTCTTTACTCAAATGTTTTCATTATTAAGTAATAATAATTATTTTCACCATAGCACTCCACTCAAAGTAAAAAAATAGAAAAAAGATTTACTTGCTCATGTTTCAACATTTCCAAAAAATCACTGGCTTCTAGATCCTTTGCCTAGGCAATGCAATCAGCAAGTATTTTGTAAAGATAACTTTAGTTCTCATGTGAATTATGTTTAATGACATACACGTATTATACACACACGTATACACACACTCAAGAATTGTATAAAATTATAAATGCTCTAAGTGTGTATTTCTAAATTTCAAATTTTTATCATACTTAATATTACTGAAAATCTAATGTATAGCTGACATAATGAACCAGTGAGAAAATTTTGGTCTGCCAGGTTACAAAATCCATTCTACTACCAGTTTTATTAGTCAACATTTCACATGTTGGTTTTTTTTTTAAATAAATGTGGGAATTGTTTTGCCAAATTTCCTGTTAATTTACAAGATGGTCTGCAAATCTCTCAGTAAATGTGAAAGCAAAGTAGAGAATGAAAACAAAATGATCACAACTTTTCTGGTCAGTGCCACCAGAAATTTATTTCCAAGATCGAAAATGCTCAGATCATAAGACTGTTTTAAAGAGGCTACCACAAAGTATTTATTGTCTGTGTGCCAACATATATCTGCTTTCCTGGGGGTAGTGGGAGTGGGTAGTGGACCTACCTTCCACATGCTCACAGCCCTGTTCAAGTGTAAAAGCAAGTTCCCAGAAGAAAAGGGAAAGGCCACAGGGCAATGAGAACTCAGGTTACCCCTTCAGAAACCCCCAGGGTGAAAACTGCCCAGGGTGAAACTACCAATTATTCTGCCTTGATTATATCTTCAGGGGGAGAAGACAAGCCTCAGGGGAGGAAATAAACTCATTCATCAAACAGGCTTTCTGGAGGTGGTACACTGGCATTAGTCTAATGCAGCGGTTCTCAACCTGTGGGTAGCGACCCCTTTGGGGGTCGAACCACCCTTTCACAGGGGTCGCCTGAGACCATCGGAAAACACACATATAATTACATATAGTTTTTGTGATTAATCACTATGCTTTAATTATGTTCAATTTGTAACAATGAAAATACATCCTGCATATCAGCTATTTACATTATGATTCATAACAGTAGCAAAATTACAGTTATGAAGTAGCAACGAAAATAATTTTATGGTTGGGGGGTCACCACAACATGAGGAACTGTATTAAAGGGTCGCGGCATTAGGAAGGTTGAGAACCACTGGAATGGCAGTCCCCAGTGTAACCAGGCTTTCTTGTGAAACCTGAAACTCACCTATGGAAGTAGGAAAAAAGAAAAATGTATGTTCCCTGTGGAAAAAAGGGGGCAATCTACTAATTCTGAAAAATACAATAAATGAAAGGTTATATCAGGAGTGCAAGAGAAAAATATTTCACGCAAAAAAAAATTAAAGCACATGAGAAGTATACTGCAAAGGAACTCCAAAAACTTACACAGGCGTTCAATAAACACTTTGAACACGCACGAGCTAAACTTATGCAATGCACCGGCCCTAGGCTATCAACACCGGCAGGCTCCTTCCCCGCCCTCCTCTACCACGTGCTCCCGACAAGGTCACTGGCGACCTCCGCCAGGTCAAACCCCCATGAAGTCCAGTCTCCGACCCATTTGCTCACCTCTCCTCCTGCTTCTCCTGGCTCCCGGGGAACGCCCTCGCCTGGTTTCCCACCAAACTCTGAGGCCCCTCCTCCCCGGGCTCCAGACAGACGGCTCCCCCCACAGGGCCAAGCTCCGAACTGTCCCC